GAAATCCCCGGGCCGGAAAATTTTCCAGAAGAAACAATCCGAAAACCTTGATCCTCCATTCTCGGTTCCTCTCTCTCGGAGGAGGGGGGGGGAGGGGTGAAGGGCGAGGCGAGAGACAATGAAGATTAGCACAGCGACGACGACGACGACGACGGGAGAAGAAGAAAAAAGGACGAGGAGGAGGATGCAGAGGAGGAAGAGGATGAAGAGGACAGATTCTGTGGATATCTGGGGCACAGCCGAGGTGTCGCGGAAGACATCCGCAGCAGAGACTTGAGAAAGTGAGGAGAGCTGCTTCTGCTAGACCCTCGGCGGGGCGGAACGTGAAACATCACGGGGAGTGAGGAGAAGGATGAGGAGGAGGTAGAGGAGGAAGAGAATGAGAAAGAGGAGAAGAAGCTCTTGGGTCCTTCGGTGGTTTGGACGAAAAATGCCCTCGCTGCGCAATTTGGTACGACAGCGACGACGACGAAGAAGGCGACGACAAAGGGAAGGGATAATGAGAGGGGGAGACCGCTGTGTTGGGATGTCGTGGTGCGCCTCTCGGGGCCCTCTGGGAGGCAGTTTTGAAGCCTCTTGGGGGTGTTTTGGGGTTCTTGGGATTTTTGGGGGCCTCTTGGGGGCCTCTTGAGGGCTCCGTGGGGCCTCTTGGGGGCCTTTTGGGGGCCTCTTGGGGTTCTCTCCGGGCCTCTTGGGGCCCTCTCGCGGCGGAAAATTTAATTGTTTGAATGTTTGGGCGCCCTCTTGGGTCTCTCTTGGGGCCGTCTTGGTGCTCTCTTGGGCCGTCTTGGGCGCCTCTTGGGCGGTCTCGGAGCCCTCCTGGACCGTGTTGGGGCCTTCCTGGGGGCCTCTTGGGCAGTACTGGGGCGATCTAGGGAGCCTCGTGGGCCATTGTGGAGCGTTGGGAGGCGGGAAAAGCGAGAAGGCCAAAAACTGAAAAACACATGAGAAAATCATCAATTGTAGCCTCTCGGGGCTCTCTTGGGAGGCCTCTTGGGGGTCTCTGGGGGCGTCGTGGACGCGTCTTGGGCAGTCTTGGGCCCAGATTGGGCGTCTTGGGCCGATCTTTTGGGTGTCTCGGGGCCCTCTTTGGCCGTCGTGTTTTTTTTCCGCGTCGCACTCGCAGGACAGACACGGAGCACTCTGCAGGAGCGCCCCAAAGGCTCGGGGAGGCCGAAATTCGCTGGGGGGGGGCACCGTGTGCCGTTTTTCCGGGGTCCCCGGCCCTGTAAAAATATAAAAATAGGAATGTGTATATGTATATGTATATGTATATGTATATGTATATGTATATGTATATGTATATGTATATGTTTATGTATATGTATATGTATATGTATATGTATATGTATATGTATATGTGTATGTATGTATGTATGTATATATATACACCCTCTCTCTGCTTTTCTCTACCTCTCTAATATCTCTCTCTCTCTCCATCTCTTTTTCTCTTTCTCAGCTTGATCCTCTCTCTTTCTCTGCCTCTAATCAACCGCCCCCCTCTTCGTTCCTTCTCTCCTGGCGTTTTCCCTCTTCCTTCGTCCCTCCCCCTCCCTTCTTCCCACTCTCCCTCGTTCTCCCCCTCCTCGTTGTGCAGGGCCCACACCAATTCCAATGGCGGGCACACGTGCGCCCACTAAGGATTGTCCGCCCGTTCAGGTTTGCCCGCCTGTCTTAGCCCGCCGCCCCCCGCAAAGAGAAATAATCCCCCAAAAGGGGCAGGAAGGGCACTTCACTTGAACAAAGACAACGTGGCCCGGAGGGGGGGGGCCACAGTACTTAACCTTTTGAAGCGACAGGCCAACAACAACTACAACAACAACATCAACATCAACAGCATTAGCCACATCGACAACAACGGCGACAACAACAATCGAATTGAAAACTGTTCGTTCTTACGCGCTCGCGTGCCATTCAACACGAAAAATCCCAATCCCTCGATACCCGCTCTCTTCGTCTTCGATCGTACCCCCTTGGGGGTCCATCTTTCTTACCTGCAGCGTGTATTTCGTGCAGCCCATAAGACAGGGGAAGAGAGGACGGATGGAAGGACAGAAAAAGCGGGAGAAGGATGGAGCACGAGAGAGAATAGCAGGAGAGGGGGCGAGGAGAAGGAAGCACGTGGCATAAACCAGACGGGCAAATCGGGCGGGTAGACCCTTACGGGCGGCTCGGAAGGCGGGCTCATGCGGCCAGGTCGAGCAGGCTGGTTGCCTGCATGGATCGCGAGGAAGCCTTCAGCGACAGCGCGATTACAAAATGAATCCCGTCAGGAAAACCACAGCGAGAGCGTGATTCCTGAGTGTCGACGGCGCGGCGCCTGAATCAATGGCAAGGAAGTCCCAGGCGAAAGCGCGATTCCTGAGTGTCGAGGGCGCGACGCCTGAAAACGTTGCGCGGAAGCATCAGGCGAGAGCACGATTCTTTGATACCGTGCAAGGATGTCCCTAGCGAGAGCGCGTTGCTTCAATACTTTGCAAGGAAGTGCCAGTCGGTAGCCGTTGTTGTTGTTGTCAACCTAAAAAGCCAGGGGCACAGTTTGACCAGGAAGAATTCACCCTTTCAAAACACGGCGAGCCCAGGGAGGGGCATTTCAATAGAACAAATGCGTATGTTGCGCGACTGCGTGGGTCCTTTATAATTCGCCAGGAAGTGCCAGGCGAGAGCGCGATTCCAAAGTAAATTGCGAGGAAGTCCCACGCGATAACGCGATTCCTGAATGGCGAAGGCGTGGCGCCTGAGTAAACTGCAAGGAAGTATCAAGCGAGAGCGCGATTCTTCAGTACATTGTGAGGACGTGTCAGGCGGGAGCCGTTCTTACTGTAAACCGAAGATCGGAGGCACAGTTTGAGCAGGATGACTTTCCTTGATGCAATACAGGTTGCGAGCCCCTTGAGGGGCACTTCAAATGAACAGCACATATATGTTTCCAGAGGGGGACCACCAACAAGTAGTCTTCAGTTTGAGAGTTCAACAACAACAACAGCAACAACAACAACAGCAATAGCAGCAGCAGCAACCACAACAACCAATTTAAGACTGTTTGATTTGATCTGCTCGCGTGCCGCTCAACACGTCTATCTCCAAACTCTCGTTACCCGCCCCCTTCGTCTTCGATCGCGCTCCCTTGGGAGTATATGTCTCTTAACTGCAACGTGCAGTTCGTGCAGCCCCTAAGGCAGGACAAGAGAGGACGGATGGAAGGAATGGACAAGGGGGAAGGAGGAGGATTGAGCACGAGAGAGAAGAGCAGGAAGGGGGCATGGGAGCAAAAGACGCGTGGCAGAACCAGACGGGCAGATCGGTCGGGTAGACCCTAACGGGCGGGTCAAGGCGGGCTCACGCGGCCAGGTCAAGCAGGCGGGTTGCTGAAGCGTGCGTCCTGCATTGATCGCGGGGAAGCCTTGAACGACAGCGCGATTCCAAAATAGATCTCATGAGGGAATCCACAGGGAGAGCGTGATTCCTGAGTGTCGAGGGCGCGGCGCCTGCAGAAATTGCGAGGAAGGGCCACGCGAAAGCGCGATTCCTGAATGAAATGTGAGGAAATCCCGAGCGAGAACGCGACTTAGGAATCAATTGTAAGGAAGTATCAGGCGGGAGCCTCTGCTGTTGTAAACTGGAAGCCAGGGGGCACAGTTTGGTAACACCCCACCTCCCCTTGTAAAAAGCAGGGTGCGAGCCCCGGGAGAAAGACTTGAATTGAAGCACGTAATGGTTACCAGTGAGGGAGGATCAACAATCATTCTTCAGAAATGACGAACCAACAATAGCAACAACAACAACAACAACAACAAACACAGCAACATCAACATCAAAATCAACATCAACAACAACAACAACACCAACACCAGCGACAACAGCAACAACAGCATCAACATCAATAACAACGATAACAACAATAACAAGAACACGAACCAAAACAGCAACAGTAGCAACAACACAAACACGACCAATAACAACAACAGCAATAACACCAACCACAACAACAACTACAACAATAACAACGACAACGACAACGACAACAACAACAACCACAACAACACCAACACCAATACCACAACCAACAACAACAGCAAACACGACAACCACAACACACCACCAACAACAACATCATCATTACCAAGACCACCACCACCAACAACAACAAGCAACATCCGCGCCGCGGAGTCCCATTTCAGCCACACATCCAGGGACGGTGTCAGACCGTGCGGCCCTCTCACTCTGATAACCATATCCACCGCCTGCGGAACCGACGTCCTGGAACCCCGGCAGGCGGTAGACATGGGTACGTGCTGGCCCCAGGGGGCCCCAAGATGTCCGTATCCCCAGACCCCCGACGCCATGAGTTTTTCATGACGTGGACCCCCAGCGGTCTGGACCCAGTCCCCGTGACCGGTTTCTCGTTCCGAGTCGTTTTGTTGACGGTCTCGCGAGGGCCCGGCATGGGCCCCCAGAGGCCGAAGACAGCGAACACTCCCCGTCACGATGTTTTCATGACCCGAGGGGGTCTGGGTCCACCGCTTGCCGAGGCCCCCGAAGATCCAACACCCAGGCGGTGGCTGTGTACAGATCCGCGCCTCTGGACGAGCGCGTTCCACTGCTCGCGGAGCCCCTGCTCGCAGAGGGCCAGGGTCCGCCGCGGCGGGTCTACGATACATCACATCAGAGCAGGCATGTGCTCTTCGAGCGTTTGGGAGTACGGCAGGTTCGCGTCGTGTCGACCCCAGCGTTGGTTTTTGACACCGCGGGGATCGGTCAACCTTGAACGATCGGCCGTTTCCGCAACGTCCAATCGTTCAACATCGATCGATTCTGGGCCGCCGGCGGCGTTCAACGTTGAACGCCCGCGCTGGGGTCGCCGCTGGTCGACACGACGCAAACCTACCGTAGGCACTCTGCGAGTCGTGGAACGCGCTCGGTGAGCCTCGGACATGGGCCCCGGGCTGCCGCGGCGGCCGCGGCCGCGGCCGCGGCCGCGGCGGCGCCGAGGCGGCGTCCATGCCGGCGGCGTCGACGAGCCGGCACCGCAGCAGCCCGGCGGCGGCGAGGACGTTGTAGCGCTGCGGCCCCTCGACCTCGGCCGCGGAGGAGGGAGGAGGGAGGAGGAGGAGAGAGGTGGGAGGAGGGAGGAGGGAGGAGGAGGAGGGTGAGGAGGAGGGAGGAGGAAGGAGGGAGGAGGGAGGAAGGGAGGGGGGAGGAGGAATGAGGGAGGAGGGAGGAGGGAGGAGGCGGAGGAGGGAGGAGGCGGAGGAGGAGGAGAGAAGGAGAAGGAGGAGGGGGAGGAGGAGGAGGGAAGAGGAGGAGGAGGAGCAGGAGGGAGGTGGGAGGATGTAGGAGGGAGTAGGAGCAGGAGGAAGAGACACGAGTGTGGGCCCGCAACTCTCGTCTTCTCCCCAGCAAGAAGGAGGAGGGAGGAATGAGGGAGGGAGGGATAAGGGAAGGAGAAGGAAAGAGGAAGCAGAAGGGAGGAGGAGAAGGGCGGAAAGAGGAGCGGGGAGGAACGATGAGGAGGAGGAGGAAAAGGAGGAGGATGAGGAGGAGGAGAAGAAAGAAGATCCAGAACCCAAACCGAGTCGTCAACGCAAAAGGGAAAACGCCCGTGAAGCTTGAGACGACGCCCAACCAAACCGCCGACATTGACCTGTGGCGGTGGAGCCAGAATGCCACCAGGCCTGGCCCGAGCAGGCTGCGTGCGCGGCGCAGCGCTGCGAAGAGTTCCAGGCTTGCCGCGCGCCGCTGCCCCTCCTGCGGCGGTTGGGGATGAGGAGAAGGAGCAGACCGTGAGCAGCACTACGGACTCCAGCAGCAGCACCGGGAGCAGCACGACGGCCCCCACTAACGACCTTGAGCAGCATGAGGGACTCCAGCAACACCATCGTGAGCAGCATGACAGGCGCCAGCAACACCATCCCGAACAGCACGACAGACTCCAGCACGACCGCGAGCAGCACGACAAAATCCAGCGGCAACATCGCGAGCAACACAACGGACTCTAGCACCACGAACGTGTGCAGCATGACGGACTCCAGCACCACCATCATGAGCAGCACGACGGGCTCCAGCAGCTGGGGTGCCACATGCGAGCCCTACCCCTCCCCCTCAGAAATCGTGTGGGGTAGGGGTAGGGTTCGCATGTGGCCCCCTAGCAGCACGACTGCAAGCAGCACGATGGACCCCAACAACACCATCGTGAGCAGCATCACGAACTCCAGCAGCACGTCTGTCAGCAGCATTGCGAACTTCAACAGCACCATCGTGAACAACATTGCGGACTCCAGCAGCACGACCGTGAGCAACAGGACGGACTCCAACAGCACCGCTGTGAGCAGAATGATGGGCGTCAGCAGCACCATCGTGAGCAACATTGCGGACTCCACCGGTACGACCGTGAGCACCAGCAGCGCCATCGCGAGCAACACGACGGACTCCAGCAGCACGACCGTGAGAAGCATGGGGGACTCCAGAGGCAGCACCATGAGCAGCACGACGGACTCCAGCAGCACCGTGAGCAGCATGCCGGACTGCGCCAGCACCATCGCGAGCACCGCGACGGACCCAGCGCAGCAGCACCGTGGCGGCGCCCCACTCCGCGCCTCACAAGACTCCCCACCCAGCGACCAGCTGCAGCACCCCATGCACCACGACCCCGACCGGCAGCAGACGAGCCGTTCGCAGACCCCCCCCCCCCGGGGAGCCGCAAGGTCTCGAATGGGTGCGCGTGTCCCCCCACTCCGCTGGGCCTCCCAGGAGCCCACGAGCGTGGCGACAATTGCGCAGTTCGCAGCCCCCCAGGGAACCGCGAGGTCTCGGCTGGCTATGCCTACCACCCCACTCGGATGGGCCTCCCAGAAGACCACGAACATCACGACAATTGCGCAGTTCGCAGCCCCCCTGGGAGTAGCGAGGTCTCGGCTGGGTGTGCGTGTCCTCCCACTCCGCTCGATCTCCCAGGAGCCCACGAAAGAGGCGACGACACTTGCGCATCGAGGCCCCCCAGGGAGCCGCCAAAAGCAGGGAGCAAGAGAGAAGAGCACGAGGAAGGGGAGAAGGAGGAGGAGGAGGAGGAGGTGGAGGAGGAGGAGGAGCAGCAGGAAAAGGAGAAGGAGGAGGAGGAGGAGGAGAAGAAAGGACAGACAGCACAGTGCTCTGTTCAGAACGAGTGCCCAACGCGGGGAGGAAATCAAGCAAGAAGCAGGAGGCAGGAGGGGGAGGAGGGGGAGGAGGGGGCAGGAGGGGGAGGAGGAGGAGGAGGAGGAGGAGGAGGAGGAGGAGGAGGAGGAGGAGGAGGAGGAGGAGGAGGAGGAGGAGGAAGGGGCAGGAGGGGGAGGAGGAAGAAGGGAGCGCGGGAGGTGGAGACCGCCATGCTCCAGTCAGAACGAGAACCCAACCACAGGAGGATTGGGAACACTGCTCACGCCCGAGCGATGCCGAGGCCACCCATGGAGCTCCACCCACGGCCTCGGCGGGCTCGCTCGCAAGCGGCGGGCCCCCCGCCCAGTTCGATACACCCTCCATGCGGGGATCGCACCCCGCAGGGCGCGTCGCCCACAGCCCAAGAGGGCGCGCCCGCACGCGGGCCTCCGCCCGCTTCGGCGCGCCAGTCGCACAGATCGCGCCCCCATCGGGCGGTCCAACGCCAAAACAATTGTTCCTCGATCGATGAGGATAGGCCCAAAACGTCCAGACAAGCCTGGTGAAGAGGACAATGAGGAGCAAGAGGAGGAGGACCATATTGAAGGAAGGATGCAACAACTATGCTGCTGTACCCCCTTCCACCTGCAGCCCCCCCTCACCCCCCCACCAATCCTCACACGGCTTCTTCTCCACTGCGGGATGCGCCCCCTTGAACGACAAACGCACAGTGGGCCTGCCACTCTGGTCGGAACTCCCCCTTTGTAAAGGAGCCACCGAGCACCAGCCTAGTAAGAACGACTGTAACGAGGGGCGGACCGGCCATCGCAGGGCGACTGGCCCCTTGTTCTGCGTCTCGTCCTATCACCCCTGCATCGACCTCGCCCAATTCCTCTTCGCCCTCGTCCCACTCCTCGCGCTCGACGTCGTCGTCCTCGTCGCCGTCTTCAGCGTCCTCGTCGTTGTCGTTGTCGTCGTCGTCGTCGTCGTCGTCGTCCTCCTCCTCCTCCTGAAGCACACATTGCGGTCAACCGCAGGGTCCGCGTTATCTGCCCCTTCGACTTGCCACCCACAGCACACGACGGACCTACACTCGCCGACGTGCAGCGCACTGCGCATGGGGTGGGAGGGCGGACCACCCTGCACGAGCCATGTGGCGAGGCGGCCTCGCCCTTCCCCGCGCATGCGCCTCCCTGCTCCAGAGGCCTCCCGGCGCCGCCAGGCCTTCCTTGAAACATCAACGAGCTTGCCAAGACATGCGCTCTGGGAGGACGGCGCCTCCTCCCAGAGGGGTGACCAGCACTGTCGACACATACTGGCCAAATCCAGGCAGGCGTGGTGCGCAGCAGCGAGGCGGAGGAGGAGGAGGAGGAGGAGGAGGAGGAGGAGGAGGAGGAGGAGGGGGAGGAGGACCTGTTGGTTCTGCAGAATCCTTGCGGTGCGTGTGTCTTCGTGATTGTCCCCAGCAAGCAGCCCGATGCTCAAAGTCAGAGCGACCTCCACCGCCACGGAAACCATCTCGGGCGGGCGAGACCGGAGCCGGGCGCCGAGCGCCGCCGCCAGCAGCTCTCCACGGTCCTCGGCCGACGCGTGCGGCCACGGAGCGCGGCCCCGGGCCTGCAGCCGCGTGCGCCGCCTGCGTGGGCCACCGGGGCCGCGGCCAGCGCAGCACCGATGGCCAGTCGCGCCGCCACCGTCGGAGGCCCGCGGCGAATCGGGCGCGGCGGCGGCCCAGCGGCGGCAGGCTCGATACGGACGGCTTCGTCGCAGGCCCCGCGCGTAGCCGCGATCGTAGAGCCGTCACAGCTCGCCATCAGCTGGTTTTGTCGTAGTCCTCATCCTTCGCCTCCTCCTCCTCCTCCTCCTTCTCCTGCCCGACCTCGTCCTGCCCCTCCCTGCCCCCAGAGCCTCCCCCTCCCCGCTGCTCCTCCTCCGCAGAGGCTCAGCGAGAAACGAAGACGACGGCGGCGGTGACGCCGACGACGGCGGCGCTCGGACGGGGCGGCCGAGCGGCGCGCTTTGTTCATCCAGGAGGCCAGGGCCTTGGGCAGGCGGTCCTCCATCGAGGGCTTCAGGGCCCCCAGCACCGCCAGGTGCACCTGGGCAGAGGGCCAGGGATCGGGCACCGAGGATCGGGGCCTTCTGGGCATGCCTCGTGGCTACGTCTGGACGCGGCTGGAGAACTGACCAGGCTGACTGCGGGATGGCTCCAGGGACAGGTTTTCAGCGGATTTCGGAGCCCAACTGCTGGTCTAGGCTTCTGTGTTGTTTCTCTTTTCCTGAGCCTCAAGGAACCTCCAGAGTCTTCTGAGGCTCTCCTCCACCAGGGGTAGATAGAGAAGGAAGCGGCATTGCGGGGAGGGAAAGTGACGAGGAAGGGGAAGGAGGATATGGAAGAGCAGGAGGAGGAGGAGGAGGAGGGTGAGGGGGAGGGGGAAGAGGCGGGGGAGGAGGAGAAAAAAGAGGAGGGACAAGGAGGAGGAGGGAGGAGGAGGAGGAGGAAGAAGAGGAGAAGGAGATGGAGAAGGAGGAGGATGTAGAGAGGGGGCGGTGGACGAGCAGGAGGAGGAGGGGGAGGAGGAGGATAGATGATGAGGAGGGGGGCGGAGGAGCAGGTAGAGGAAGAGCCGGAGGAGGAGGCGGAGGAGGAGGAGGAGGAGGGATGAGGAGGGATGAGTAGGAAGGAGGAGGAGGAGGAGGAGGAGGAAGAGGAGGAGGAGGAGGAGGAGGAGGAGGAGGAGGAACGAAAGCTGCATGAGGCGCGGCTGGTGCCGGGAGCCACCTACTTGCTGGTGGCAGTTTGAGCTCCTCTGATTGGCACATTCAGCGTCATTCTGCAGATGGGGCTGGTCTGCGCCGATGCTTGCTATAGACGTTGAAGCTCAGCGCTGTCGATGCGTGGGCGTGCTCGCGCTCGAAAGGCGGAGCTGCCTATGGGGCCACGAACCGTGTGAGGGGTGCGCCAAAATGGGGCGGCGCCGCCATGTGGACCCCGCTACCTGGGCCTTCGGTGGAGCTCCCTATGGGGCCACGTCCCGTGCGAGACGTGCACCACAATGGGGCGGCGCTGCAATGTGGACCCTGCTACCTGGGCCGTCGGTGGAGCTCCCGATGGGGCCACGAACCGTGTGAGGGGTGCGCCAAAGTGGGGCGGCGCCGCCATGTGGACCCTGCCGCTGGGACCTTCGCTGGAGCTCCCTATGGGGCCACGAAGCGTTGCAATGGGTGCGCCGAAACACAGACATGCGGAGGGCAGAGGCATGGATGGGAGGAGAGAGGAGGGGGAGGCGGTGAGGTGAGGTTGGGCGCGGGGCGCTGTTTCTGCAAAACGAGGGCCCAACACCACATGATGGTTGGGAATAATGAAAAATAGTCACACACACACACTCAAAGAGAGAAGAAGCACAAAACATGGCCACCGGACTACATTTCACTAGTCTTGCGCTTTTCTCCTGCAGATGGGGGATGCCCGACTTGAGGCTAGGCCAAGCGAAGAGGACGACCGACGACGACGGCGACGAACTGCGAAGACACCAGGCTCCGAGGCCCGGAGGGGGGGGGGACTGCCGGGGGGAGGCCAGACGGGGCGGCACGCCGAGGCTGCTCCGGCTGGGGGGGAGGCCAGGGGGCAGGCCAGGGCGGGAGGACGGACGACAACAGCGAACGACGAAGCCAAAGGGTTCCGCACCGAGGCAATGCCAAGGGGGGGGGGCAGGGGTAATTAGGCCGATCGAGGAGGACGAACGACGGCGGCGACCTACGAAACGGGAGAGGCCAGAGCTCTAGAACGCAGCTGTGCAAGAGAGCGCGGCTGGTGGGGTGGGACTGTGACAGTGCCACTGGTGTGGAGATGTTCTAACGAGGCTGGAGTAGGGCTGACGAGGCAGATGGAGTAAGGAGGGAACGAAACCTGAGAGGCCGGTGGGGTGGGGAGTGGGGAGGCCTTGCAACAAAAAGGGAATGTGTTTGCACGACGAGGAGGAGGAGGGAAGGAAGGAGATGGAGTTCAGAGAAAAACGAAAATCCCAAGCGGGAGGTGGAAGAACAAATCCTCACCGCGCTCACTCTCTGCCCTGACCCCCACCGAGACTTCTTGGGAGCCCAGACGGCTTCAAAAGGGGGTTGGTGGCAGAACATGCCGCAGGCACCTTGATGTTCCGAGCATCCCTCCCTGGTCGTCGTCATCCTCCTCCTCCTGATCCTGCTGCTGCGAATCCTCTTTCTGCTCATCACGTAATCCGCCTCCTCATTATGCTCTTCCTCCTCCTCCTCCTCCTCGCCCTCCTGAGGGGCCCAGGCTACCCAATCCCCCTCGTGCTCCCCTTCCCTTCCCGCCTTATTTTCCCACCACCCCCCGTCTACTTCTCCTCATGATCCTCATCCTATTCCTCCTGGTCACCATCGTCATCATCATCATCATCACCATCATCATCATCATCATCATCAGCAGCAGCAGCAGCAGTAGCATCGCCACTATCATCATCATCATCATCATCATCATCATCATCATCACCACCACCAACTCATCAACATCACCATCATCATCCTCAGCATCGTCATCGGCATCAGCATCATCAGCATCATCACAACCATCATCGTCACCACCATCATCACTATGATCATCATCACCATCATCTTCTTCATCATCAGCAAAAGCACCAGCACCAGCATCATCACCGGCACCATTTGCATCATTATAATTAGCATCAGCATCATGCTCATCAGCAGCATCAACATCTGCATCTGCATCAGCATCTTCACCAGCATCAGTATCATCGCTTCTCCTCCCTTCTCCTTCTTTCCTAAGTGCATCCTTCACACAGGAGATATTAAGGGGTGAAGAGCGTTTTCATGTTTCTTCGCGATAGCGGTCGTTACCAGCCCGGCGCTCCCCCTTCCCCTTCCCCAGGTATCGTCAACATTCGCCTGACCGCTGGGATGCTTTTGGTTATTCTTCTAAATTCCCAGACGGCACCGGCGCGAAACGTGACGTTAACGGCCCCCCGCCCCCCTCCCCCCTGGTAACGCCCGGTATCGTCCACGAGTAGTGCGCGCTCTCGTGCTCTGGGTTCGACTGAGAGGGCCTGGGGAGGAGCAGAGCTCGATATACCTATACGACCACCCTTCGGGTGAGAAGGAGGTTGTGGGGGGGGGAGAGGGGGGAGGACCAACATCTGACTCAATCGCTCTGACTATCGATCTCACCCAACGGGAAACCACGGGACACCACGGGACACTATCGATCTCACTCAACGGGACACCATGGGACACCGCGGGACATCTCTCGAACTCACTATCGGTCTGACTATCGATCTCACTATCGATCTCACTCAACGGGACACCACGGGACACCTGTCGATCTTACGATCGATCTCACTATCGATCTCACTTTTGGGGGCACCACGGGACACCACGGGACACCTCGGGGCACCACATCTATGTCAGTATCGATATCACTATCGATCTCACGATCGATCTCACTCAGCGGGAAACCACGGGACACCACGGGACACCGCGGGGCATCTCTCGGTCTCCCTATCGGTCTCACTATCGATCTCACTACCGATCTCACGATCGATCTCATTCAACTGGGCACCACGGGACACTGCGGGACACCTGTCGATTTCACTACCAATCTCACTTTTTGGGACACCACGGGACGCCACGGGACACCTCGGGGCACCACATTGATCTCAGTAGCGAACTCACTATCGATCTTACTCAACGGGACACCACGGGACACCTGTCGATCTCAGTATCGATCTCACTATCGATCTCACTTTTTGGGACACCACGGGACACCTCGGGGCACCACATCTATGTCAGTATCGATTTCACTATCGATTTCACTATCGCTCTCACTCAGCGGGATACCACGTGACACCACGGGACACCACAGGACAACGAGGGACACCGCAAGCCACCGCCGGACGGAGGATAATCATTTGTCTGGACTTCGCCAAAACAACGGCGGACACCACGGGCCACCACGGGACACCACGGGACACCGCGGGACACCGCGAGCCACCGCCGGACTGAGGAGAAACATTTGTCTTGACTTCGCCGTAACAGCGGCGGGACACTGCGGGACACCGCGATCCACCGCCGGACAGAGGAGAAACATTTGTCTTGATGTCGCCCTAACAACGGCGGGACACCGAGCCACCGCCGCATGGAGGAAAAACATTTGTCTTGACTTCGCCCTAACAACGGCGGGACACCGCGGGACACCGCGAGCCACTGCAGGACAAACGAGAAACATTTGTCTGGACTTCGCCGTAGCAGCGGCGGGACACCGCGAGACACCGCGAGCCACCGCCGGACGGGGGAGAAACATTTGTCCTGACTTCGCCCTAGCAGCGGCGGGTTCATTCCTCTCGCGCGCCCGCGAAGTTTCGCTTCGCCCGCACGCACGACACGAACGAAACGAAACGATTTCCCGGTTGGGAGTCCTCGTTCCACTGCGATCTCACCCTTCAGCCTCCGATTCCGTGGTGATCGACCAGCGCACAACAAAGAGGCGGTCAGGAGGAGGCCAGGAGGAGCTCCCGGCCTCCTCCTGGCGTAAAAAAGAAATCGGGGCAACCCCCTCCAAGAAAAAATACCACCCTGCGAAACTCAGCAACAGCACGTCATCAGGCGGTGTTGTGGCCTCCCCCCGATCGTCGTGTGCCCCACGGCGCAGAAACTAGACCGCTTGGAGCTCCATCATCACGCCTTGCTGAGCCGATCAGGAGGACGAGTCGGTGTCCAACTGCACCAACCAAACCTTGAAAGAACGGGAAGGCACCGCATTGGAAAGGGCACCCCAAGGCACCGAAGGGCGCCATCGCGGCGCCAGTGCAGGCCAGGGAGGCCACCCAAACCAAAACGCCAGAGGCCATCTCAAGGCCAGACACCAGGGGGGGCGGGAGGCGGCCGCCTGGAGCCACAGGGCCTCAAGAGGAGTGGGCTCCAGGGCACCGATCGGGAAGAAGAGAAAGAGGAGGAGCAGGAGGAGGAGGATGCGGAGGAGGAGGAAGAGCAGGAGGAGGGCAGGACAAGACATCCGCATATGGGAGGTCAACGTTAGCACACCTGGACTGGTGCCTTGCGCGCGTCTGCAAAATCCCCTGCGATTCGATTGTGCAACAACCCTGATTTCTAACTTGGGCCGGCAGGGGGGCATACCTCGAAGCTTCAACTGGTGAGCTCCGAGGTGGCCCCGTGAGAGAGGCTCGCGACCTTGTGAGTGCGAATCCGTGCGGGTCAGCGCGGGGGGAGCAGCTGCTGGCCCTTCCGCGTGCCCTATGATGGGGGACGCGCTGGGCAAGCAGGGCTCCCAAGCTAGGGGGGAAGAGACGACGACACGACAACTCAAAAGGAGAGGGGGGGGGAGAAATAGCAGGCCCCTGCTTTCCAAACTTCCGCTGGGGGGCCTGATTCTCCTACTCAATCCTGTTCTTTCCGCTCTCTCTCTCTCTCGGCTCCTTCTCTTCGGAGGAGGAGGGGGAGGAGGAGGAGGAGGAGGAGGAGGAGGAGGAGGAGGAGGAGGAGGAGGAGGAGGAGGGGTGAGGAGGGGAGGAGAGGAGGAGGAGAGGAGGAGGAGGAGGAGGGGGAGGAGGAGGAGAAGGAGGAGGAGGAGGAGGAGGAGGAAGAGGACGATCAGGAGTGGAATCCGGAGGGGAAGGACAGGTGGGGCCAGCGCCCAGGGCCTCCAGGGCGACTGCGCCGCTGGCATCGGGGCATCGGCTCGCGCGCCGGAGTGCGCGCAGCCTCCGGGCTGGCACGAGGCACGAGACTTTTGCCCGCCGCGGCGCGGCAGAGGCGATCCGCACGCGCGGCCCCGCGGGCAGGGCTCGGGCACGCACGTCCAGCTGCAAGAGGAAGGAGACAAGGGGGCTGGAGAGCGGCCGCGGAGAGCGGCAGAACGGAGGGGAGATGGCACTCGCAGCACGAAGACCTCCTTGTCAGGGGTGGCCGGTGCGGCCGGCCTGTGCGGAGGGCGGCCTGGCAGTGGCCGCGGGGCGGCATCGCGGCCATACCCCGGGGGGGTCCTGCACGAGACACTTTTCCGTCGGCGGCGAGGCAGAGGCGGTCCGCCCCAGCGTGAGGCAGCTCGAGGCATACCGAAGGGCTAACTGGTTGGCAGGCAAGACAAGGGAAAAGGATGAGGGCGGCCGCGCAGAGGGAAGGGGGAGGGAAGAACACTCAGACGAAGGATTGCAAACGATTGCAAAAAAAAACCCAGAATTGCAAACAAAAAAAAAACAAAAAAAAAAAAAAAACAAGGATTGCAAAAAAAAACCGAAGGATTGCAAAAAAAAACCAAGGATTGCAATCCTTCGGAAGAGTTCCGCGTCGAGCAGGCTGGGGCGGCCAGCCGCGGCAGCGAGAGGCACGAGACTTCAGTCGGGCCTGTCCCCCTACAGGGGGGATTCTCGACGAGCAATAAAAAGCACCCCACAAAGAATCAAACAACCAAGCAACAAACTGTCTAGGGACTATTTTTTGAGCATTGTTTGGCCTTTTTGGAATATGTTTGTTGTACTTTTTTATGTTTCGTCGAAGCTCCTCCTGTAGGGGGACACGCCAGACATAACACGAGACAGGAGACAGCGAGAGGCACGAGAACCGAGGGGGGATAAGCAGCTGCAGCAGCAGACCGCGCTTCGGGCGTGCAAGGCGAGAGCCGCCAGCGATCGGCAGCGCGCGCGCGCAGACCCTATGTAGGCCTGGGTGCCGAGCGGTGCGGGAGAAGGCGGGAGGGACGACGACGACGAGGAGGACGAGGACGACGACGAGGAGGACGAGGAGGACGAGGACGAGGAGGAGGAGGACGAGGACGAGGACGGCGATGACGAGGAGGACGATGACGATGACGAGGAGGACGAGGACGAAGATTAGGAAGAGGACGAGGACGAGGAGGAGGACGAGCACGACGGACGACGACGACGACGACGACGACGACGACGACGACGACCACGAGGACAGCGGCGACGGCGGCGAGGACAAGGAGGAGAACGACGACGACGGTAAGGCGGCGCTGGCTCCGCGCGCGCCTGCTGCGACGATGAGGATGGACGCGACGGCGTGGACGTCGAACGACGGACGACGGACGACGACGAGGACGAGCGACGACGACGAGCTGCCGTACGAATGACGCACGACGCACGTATCAGACGAGAAACGACGGCGACGCGGACCCGGAGGCTCCGCGGCCCCAGGGGCGCGCGCCTCCAGCACCGCGCGGGGCGGCGGGGCCCTCGTCCCTCGACCCTCGGCCGTCCCCCCCGCACCTCCGCCGCACCACCGCCCCTCGCGAGCCCCTCCCCTGAAGGGCCCCGCCCTGGCCTGCCGCTCGGGCTGCGCCCAGGCCGTGGCCGCGCGGCACGCCCGGGGGGCCCAGCGAGGGCCCTCCGTTTGACCCTCGGCCCTCCACTCGCCCTCGACCCTCACATCCTGGGCCCCCGGCCCTCGGTCCTCGCATCCTCGGCTCGCAGCCCTCGACCGACCCCCGACCCTCGACCCTTGGAGCTCCTCGGCCGCCGGGCCTCGGGCGACCTCGGCCTGCAGAGATCCTCGACCTTTCGGGGGGGCGGGTGCGGCCTCCAGCACCGCGTGGACCGGCGAGATCGTGTCCGGCGGGTGCCTGTGGGGCACGCCGGCAGGGGCCTGCGGACCCGCTCGCGGCGGCCGACGCTGCCGCCGTCTGCCGACGCCGCCGCCGCCGTCCTCGCCGCCGCCGCCGTCAACGTCGCCGTCGCCGCCGCCGCCGCCAATCCGCCAGGGGGCCGTCGCCGCCGCAGTCGGCGCCGTCCTGGCCGCTGTCGGCGCCCCCGTCGTCGCGTGGAGGGGAGCCGCGCGGGATCGATCCCGGCGCGTGCGGTGCGGCACGCCCCCGGGGGCCTGCCGTTGCCGGTGGAGCAGAAGGCGCGCCGTGCCCTCCCCGAGGCCGGCCGCACGCAGGCAGGAGCGACCCTGGGCGAGGGGGTGACTTTCGGGGCGCGAGGCGCGAGCTTCGGCCACCGCGCGAGGGGGAGGGGGGAGGGGGAAAGGGGGGGGGCAGAATCCAGGGGTGCACGCAACCCTGGAAATTGCGGCGAAGGGTCACTCTGATACGCCACGCCACCTCATGACTCCCACACACACACACACACACACACGCACGACATGCTCGTCATCGCAACAAGCTTGCGAGCTCATGCGAGATGGGGGGAGAGGGCCGGCCTAACTGAGGCGCATAACCACGACCACAGCGACTGGAACTGGCACCAAGCCAGCAGAAGGAGGCCAACAGAGCCACCGCAGCCGGCTCTGCTACAGATGGGTACTTGGGGCAACGTTTTTCGTGTCGCGCTTTCGGCGTTGGTTTCTGACACCAGGGGATGGTTCAACCTTGAACGATCGGCCGTTTCCGAAACGTCAGATCATTCAACGTCGACCGATTCTGGGTCGCCGGCTGCGTGCAACGTTGAACATGCAAGCGGCGGGGTCGCCGTCAGTCGACACGACGCGAACCTATCGCAAGCACGACGAGGCGGGAAGTAACGGCGGCGAAGGTGGGATCTCCTGCCGCCGCTTCTGCCCATCTCACCCAAAAGATCGCTTGTCGCTTGCCCCTGAACCAAAGAACATAGTCGCAAACACAGCGCTCACACATGCACTGAACTGTGCCGTGCAAATCTGCTCCCGCTTCGAAACGGCGCTTGATTTGTACGCACGCATGGCGAGGTCGCGCACCATCCCCTGGCGCGCGATGTTCGTGTAAAGCTTCCCCCCAAGATCTATGCATCAACGTCTATGCATCGGCTATCAGAGGCTCGAGGTCATTTGTGAACCACCAGCTAGTATTATCCGACCCTGGGGGGAACATCGAACCAGAACCTGCCTTGCATCTCGGATAGATCGGCGATGGGCCCCAGATGGAGAAGACACACGTCCGTGGGCTGCGAGGGGTAACCTTGAGCAGGGACCGACCGTCCCGGCATTCCTAGAGGGATACCAAGACATGTTCTCAGAATCCAAAAATGTTCTAAGAACAGAAACAATGTTCTAATAACATACACCGGATGTGTTAAAACAAGACATTCCCAGCCAGACATGTTCTAAGAACATCTCGTGCAAACCACGAACCGCGACAGGTTCTCGGAACACTCTGTGGTGGACCTGTGGGCAAGCCAGGGCGCCTTGCCACTGCTTGATAATCGAGCACCGATGGGCCATCCATCGGCAATTTCTAGGTCCGTGCTCCCCCGACCTGGGCCAGGGCTCCCCTGTCGCCCCGCAGGGGGTCTGCCGCGGAGCGGGCCGGTCGCGAACCGCCGTCGGGGGGGGGGTGCGAGCCACGCGTGCGGCTGCGTGCGCTCGAGGGTCGAGGGTCGAGGATCCGAGCTTGCTCAGATGTTTATGGAGGCTCGTGCCCCTGGAGACCTGGGGAGGTCGTCGACATCGTCGCCGTCGCCGACGGCATCGTCGTCGTCGCCCGTCGTCCTCGTCGTCGCCGTCACCCCCCAAGCACCGCCGTCGTGGTCCTCGTGCTCCTCGTCCTCGTCGCCGTCCTTCTCGCCGTCGTCATTGTGGTCAGCGTCGTCGCCGTCGTGGTCCACGTGCTCCACGTCCACGTCGCCGTCCTTCTCGCCGTCATCATCGTCGTCACCGTCGTCGACGTCGTGGTCCTCGTGCTCCTCGTCCACGTCGCCGTCCTTCTCGCCGTCGTCATCCACGTCACCCTCGTCGACGTCGTGGTCCACGCCCTCCTCGTCCATGACCCCGTCCACTTCGTCGTCGTCATTGTGGTCACCGTCGTCGACGTCGTGGTCCTCGTGCTCCTCGTCCATGTCGCCGTCCTTCTCGCCGTCGTATTGTGGTCACCGTCGTCGACGTCGTTGTCCTCATGCTCCTCGTCCTCGTTGCCGTCCTTCTCGCCGTCACCATCCACGTCACCGCCGTCGACGTCGTGGTCCTCGGGCTCCTCGTCCATGTCGCCGTCCTTCTCCCCTTCATCGTCATCACCGTCGTCGACGTCGTGGTCCACGTACTCTCGTCCGCGTCGCCGTCCTTCTCGCCGTCATCACCGTCGTCACCGTCGTCAACGTCGTGGTCCTCGTGCTCCACGTCCACGTCGCCGTCCTTCTCGCCGTCGTCATTGTCGTCACTGTCGTAAACGTCGTGGTCCTCGTGCTCCTCGTCTACGTCGCCGTCCTTGTCGCCGTCGTCATCCACGTCACTGTCGTCGACGTCGTGGTCCTCGTGCTCCTCGTCCTCGTCGCCGTCCTTCTCGCCGTCATCATCGTCGTCACCGCCGTCGACGTCGTGGTCCTCGTGCTCCTCGTCCACGTCGCCGTCCTTCTCGCCTTCATCATCGTCGTCACCGCCGTCGACGTCGTGGTTCTCGTGCTCCTCGTCCTCGTCGCCGTCCTTCTCGCCTTCATCATCGTCGTCACCGCCGTCGACGTCGTGGTCCTCGTGCTCCTCGTCCACGTCGCCGTCCTTCTCGCCTTCATCATCGTCGTCACCGCCGTCGACGTCGTGGTCCTCGTGCTCCTCGTCCACGTCGCCGTCCTTCTCGCCTTCATCATCGTCGTCACCGCCGTCGACGTCGTGGTCCTCGTGCTCCTCGTCCTCGTCGCCGTCCTTCTCGCCGCCGTCACTGTCGTCCTCGTCTCGTCGTCGTCGTCGTCGTCGTCGTCGTCGTCCTCGTTCTTGCCGTCAGGCCGCCGGCCCGAGGCTGGCTCTCCACGCGGGAGGCCCCGGCTGACATGGCACGCGCTCGCTGGCGCTCGACGTCTAGCTTTTCGGGCATGTCCCTCTACAGGAGGAATGTTCAAAAAAAGTCTAAAAATAGGTTGGGGACGATTTTCCTATTCTCTTTGACCATGTTCAAATGATGTTTCTCTTCTCTTCCAAAACCCACCTGTAGGAGGACATGCCCAATCAAAGTCTAGCTGCTGCACCCCATACAGTCTAACCGTGCGTTGAGGACTGGGCTGTTCTGGGCGGCGGGCGGCCCGAACCCCAGGGACGCAGAGGTACCGAATCCAGGGAGGGGACCACGGCAGAGGACGGGCCGCCGAGGCAAGGAAGGCGCGCGTCCTTGCTGCTGGGCGCGCTGACTTTCGGTGCCTGATCTTCGGTGGCCGGCCCCTTCTCCGCCCCACCTGCGGGCAAGACTTCTGTCCACATCCGCTGCAGCTTGAAGCTCCGGGCTGTCCCCCCAGACCCCCGACGTCATGAATTTTTCATGACGTCGACCCCCAGCGGTCTGGACCCATTCCCCAGGACCGGTTTTCCGTCCTGAGTCGTTTTTTGACGGCCCCGAGGGCCGGTGAGGGCCCCCAAAGGCCAAAAATCATGAAAAACCTCTCGTCGTGATTTTTTCATAACTCGAGGGGGTCTTGGCCCAGAACCCCGAGGCGCACTGGATGTGTATAAAAATCTGGCCCCACAGAGGCTCGGCTTTGATCCCCTTCCAGGGCGCCTCGGCCTCGCGGCGCCCGGGCCAAGACTGTCCAGGTCGCACTGGATTCGGATCTTGCCCGCACCATCCTCCCCCCAGTCACGTCTCGATTCGCGCCGGCGCCGTGTGGGAAGCAGTCAAATTCCTACGCATTTCCAGCCGGCGCCGGCGCGAATCTTGACGTGACCGGGCCCCCTCCGCCCCGCTCCCCCCCCCGGTCATACGCGCGTGATCGCCAGGGAATACAAAAGGAGGCGCTCCCAGCCTCCGAGCGTCGTGAACGGATCGCAGCGGGCGTGCCAGCCCCGTTTCGAGCCCCGGGGCCATGGCGGATCAACCCTGGCTCGAGAGAGGTGAGGTCGAGACGCGGCGGGCGCTGCCGCCTCGCTTCGGACCCAGGGGGGCCCTCACGGATCGATCCGGCCGGAGGAGTGTCGCGCAGGGGGTAGGGTCGAAAGGGCTCACGGCGTGGCTTTCAAAGGGCGCACGGCGATGATGACGACGACCACCACTACCACCACGGCGTCCGCGACCACGATTCACGATGACCATGGCGACAGCCTCCGAGACGACGACGAGGGCCACGACACGGCGACGGCATCCGCTCAAGATCGGTCCCCGGATCCATCTCGAAGTCCATGCCGAACAGATGTTCGAAGAAAATCCAGCTGTACCCACGAGAACGCACGGCGAGGCCCAGAAAAGGCCGAAGCCGTGAAACGTCTCGATCCTTGATGCTCAAACCTCGACGGCGACTACCACCACCATGACAACGACGAGGACGACGCCGACGGCAACGACCACAACCACGACGGCGTCCGTGACGACCACGACTACAACCACGGCGGCGGCATCCGCGGCGACCACGTCGACGGCCACCCCGACGACGGCGGAGACCACCGCAACGGCGACGGAGACGGGTGCGTCCGCGACCACGACGACGACCGGGCTTTGCTGAACGAAGGGCAGTAAGCGGGGGGGTGAAAACTCGTGCACATTTCGCGCACCTTCGAAGCTTCGGTGGAGGCCCTTTCCGGGTCCCTTTCCTGCAGCCCCGCTCCCTCCCACCATTCATCGCCCCCCGAATTTCTAAGATCTGACGTTGCACAAAAGACCCCCGACGCCGTGCATGCTTCACGACGTGGGCCCCCGAAAGTCTGGCCACATTCCCCAGGACTGGTTTGTCATCCCGAGTCATTTTTGTTGACGGTCGCGGGGCCCGCTGAAGCCCCCCCGAGGCCGACAATACCGGAACCACTTTGTTATCATGACCGTGGGTCGGGGCCTGAGGGTTACGAGACGACCGAGGCGGCGACGACGGCGAGGAGCTGGCGGCCGCCTCGTAGAGCTGTCGGAAGATCCGCTGGGCGAGGCCGTCGTTCCTCTTTCTCTGCGCGACCTGCACAAGGCGCGGGCCGCCCAGGCGCAGCCAGTCGGCGCGGCCGCGGGCCGTCGCCGCCGCCGCCGCCGCCATCGCCGCCGCCGCCGCCAGCAGCGTCGTCGTCGCCGTCTTCGCCGTCGTCGACGTCGTCGAGGTCGTCGACAGCGTCGTCCGCCGTCGCAGTCGACGTGGTGAGTGGTCTTTGTCGTCAGTGCCGCCGTCGTTGCCGTCGGTGCCGGTGTGGTCGTCGTCTTTGTCGTCGTCGCTGTCGCCGTTGACGTCTTTAACCGTCGTCAGTGTCATCGTCGCCGCTGCTGTCGACGTCGCCGTCGTCATCGTCATCAATGTTGTCGTCGGTCGCAAGGGCAGCACAGGAATAACTCCACCCCCTAAACACGAAATGCCACCCCATGCGCCACAACACATGGAAGGAGAAAGAAGATGCGGAAGAGGAGAGGGCTCTCATGATCACCCCCTTTCCTTTGACGTTGTTTGTGTCAAATGGGTGTCCAGAGAGGCTCGCCCGCCGAGCCAGCCAGTTATGATTCAGAGAGCACGAACAAGATAAGCTGCTTCCTTGGGAACCTGTCTAGCACTGCAGGAGCTGCGGCAAGCCTCTGGACATCCACCATTTCAAAGGGGGGCATTTCGGGGCTGTGTAGGGCTCTACAGAGAGCCCTTGGGACAGCAATCGGCCTCGGGACGGACGATCAATGCTGCGCAACGGCTTCCAGTAAGTACCCCTTACTCTTGGCCAGACTTGTTCTAGATGTAACGCGGGCCGCGACAGCGAGTTTCTATTCAGAGAGCACGAGCAAGACAAGCGGCTTCCTGGGCAAGCCGTCGAATACATTGGAATGTGCGGCGTTGACGGCTACTTTGAATAATGGGATTGGGTCCAAAAACGTTTGAATCGTCACATGTAGAAGCTATGTCTGTACATCGCTCTTACAGCACAAGCCCACACCAGTCAGTCCATCCCATGGGGCGGCAGAGACATCTAACGTTACAAATCCTCTCCGAGCTCACAGGGGTCGAAGTGCACTGGTTTATGATCTCCACGACTATACCCACACCGTTTAGGACGTGCCAGCCTTTTCAACACAGGAGCTTTCCAAACACTATGGGCATGAGGGTGCGCAATACTGGGGGGTCCCCAACTTTTGAGGCAGACTTACCCGTACGATAATTTCAACTACCAACTCCCACACGGGCTTCTCATTTCTTTCCGTGCGGCATTGTCGTCACTAGACCCACGAAGTCACGAACCGGACCAGGACCCGATCCACCACGTTTGCGAACCCGCCTCCAGTAACTACACGGCCAACCGGAACCCGATAGAACATACCGTTCGGCTTCATCTCGATGCCTGTCGACTCCTCTACCGCATGCCACTAGACCGTACGCCCAACCTCCTCAGAGCAAGAGCAGAGCGTTCGTCAACCGCACTGGGCCCGAGAAAATCAACACTCCACTGCGGCCAACCCGACCCAGCTCATGGTGGCCCGTTTGGCAAGAGGCCGGGCACGTTGGTGCCCCCGCCTCACTGAGAGGCCTCCTGGATGGGGTCCGGGCAACTGGGATCGAACGATCGCGCCACATCGCCGAACATCGGCGATGCATCGACGACGTCGGCATGGGAAAAAACAGTCTCCACATCGAGCCGCACCGGCGATGCATCGGCGATGCGGCGCGATCCTCCGCCCTATCTACTCGGACCCATCTGGGAGGCCTGGCCTAGATGATGGGCCCGATGCGTGAAAACAAAACAGCCTCAGCCAGAAGTGTGCCTCTGGTGGGTCTCTACCCAGACATGTGACGTCCTGACTTTTTCAGGACGCCGTCCCTGTAAGTCCCGACCCTTTCTCCGGGACCGGTGTTTCGTCCTGAGTCGTGTTTGGACGGTCTCGAGGCCCGGCGGGGTCCCCCAAGGCCCGAAAATGGTGGAAAACCTGCCGTCCTGATTCTTTGACGACGCGATGATGTCTGGGCAGGCGAGCCAGGACGCTTCGCCACTGCTCGAGTTTGAGACGAGGCCGGGCACGCTGGTGCCGCCGCCTCGCTGCGCGCCTGCACCCGCGGGGACGGGAACGGCGGCCTGCCCCCGACGCGGCTCCGGATCGGCGGCGGCGCGGGTCTGAGCTGCCGCCACGCGCCGACAGGGCCGCCGGAGGGCTCGACTCCGGCACAGAGGCAGCGGGGAAGAAAGGGACGAAGAAAAAAAAGAAGAATAGTATGCACAAACATAAAGAGAGCACGAAACATAAGAACACTGCGGAAATACGAACAAAAATTAGAAAGAGCATGAAAAATGAGGGCGCTACGGAAATACGAAGAGCAGCGCCTGCGGCCTGCCTGTCTCGTGACGCCTGGCGGGCGCCCTCAGCACAAAGGCGCTTGGGGTTTATTCCATCCCCTGCCGCTTTCGCCTCCTGCTGAGGCGCCCGAGAGTCGCGCGGCCTCTCGCTGTCGCACTCTCTCTGCAAGCGAGGCCGGCCAGAGCAGACGACCACGGGTGGCCGGGACGCCCTCCGAGCGCGGCGCTCTTCGGGGCGTGTTCCAGAGCAGGCTTGGCACGCAACCGGCTGCGCGCCCAGTCGGTCGACGCGGCCTGACCCTGGTGCGAGCCAGGGCAGCAGGACGCTGGCCATTTTGACGCGCGCGCGCAGCCGCGGGCGCGCAGGACCGGCAGCGCCTGGCCCGGCACCTCAGGTCCTCAGGCAGCTGCGCGATCCGCTGCGGCGCCATGAGTGCGAACGACGCCGGGCAGGACTTCACCACAACGTCGAGAAATACAGTCGGACCCAGGACGGAAAACCATCCTTCAAGAACGTGTGACCCTCCGCCGGCCAAACCTCCCAGCACATCCACGGGCACCCTCCCCAGGATGCACAAGAGCATCCAACAGACACGAGGAGCATCAGTGCACCCTCCCCGAACCGACCTCGATCTCATATCTCGGTCCGACCGTACCCTCTACTCGCACGTGGCCTGCGCACAAGCTCGCGTGCACCGCAGCAACTGGAACCTCACAGTGGAGGCGAGAGCTCGAGCTTCCGCCTCGCTCGGCACGACAGGCCGGTCCGACCGTACCCCTCCCCTGGCCCCTGCGGAGGAGGAGGAGGAGGAGGAGGGGGAGGAGGAGGAGGAGGAGGAGGAGGAGGAGGAGGAGGAGGAGGGGAGGAGGAGGAGGAGGAGGAGGAGGAGGGAGGAGGAGGAGGAGGAGGAGGAGGAGGAGGCGAGAGGAGGAGGAGGAGGAGGAGGAGGAGGAGGAGGAGGAGGAGGAGGAGGTGGAAACGGGCTCGCCGCCGGCGGCGGCACGGACGACGGCCTTCCCCGGCGGCGACGACCCGCCGCCCGGGGTCTCGGAGACAACAGGCGACGCCCACCAGCCTTCGAGATACTCGTACGGTCGATCGACCGACGATCGGCGATCGACGATCGATCCTTCGAGGATGGATCGTGGACCGATCGATCCAGCCTCGATCGACCGAACGACGGATCCACGGCGGCGGCGCCGCTGGCGACAGCCACCCTCGGGGGGCACGCTGACCCTGGGGAGCGCGGAGCCGGGCCAGCCAGGGCCGCGTCGCGAACCCTGGCAAGCCACGAGCAAGAATTGGGCTACACCCGGGGAGCCCCTGACAAAAATAAGACGATGCAATTACATGAATCGAACACCCAGTGAGCACATCCTGGTCGACTGCTGAGGAAACCTATGCAATTACATGAATCGAACACCCAGTGAGCACATCCTGGTCGACTGCTGAGTAAACCATAAGTTACCCATACCGCTGCTCATCGGAACTCTCCCGGGGCGCCTTCTGACCAGGACTTCGAGGCAGCGGCGGCGACGAGGGCCTCCTAGGAGGCCCCAAAACGGGGAAAACGAGGGGGGAGGGTAGTGGAATGGGTACCCACTCCTCCTCCGAAGCTGCTTCGTGAGGAAAGGCTCCCAAGCCCGGGCCCAGGGAGGGGAGGGGGGGGGGGTATCGGGGATCGGCCGCACGCGGCTCCGAGAACCCGGGCCGGCCGGGGCGGACAGACTGGTCTGCTCTGTTGAGCGGCTGTTGCCAGGCAGCGCTGCCTTCAGAACACGCCTCGGAAGGCGGAAGGACTCAGAGGGCAGAACATCCACCCCCAGAAGGATCACCCCGACGCGCGGAGCCATTCGGCAGACGCACCCGCACGAAGGAATCGAACAGAGCCGGGCTGTCTGGTAAACGCCCAGGGCCGTTTGGTGAGCGCCAAGTTGTCGGGGCCGGGTGGCCTTTCCTCCCTTGCTGACCGGCCTGCTCCTTCTTTGCTGATGCCTGGCCTGCTCTGCAGAGGCCGTCGCTCCGAGGGCAGCTCTGCTCGAGGCAGGTCGGGCGTCCCGGCCCCTCTCCCGCGCAGCGCACCGCGGCCGAGCACGGTCAGCACATCTTTTCGGGTCGGTGTCCGTCGGACCCCTCGCGACGGTGCCCCCGAACGACGTTGCGCCAGGAAGGCCGGATGAACATCTGCCACAGTCGGGGGCGCGCAAGCGTGGATCAGCGATCCGTGGATCTGGCGCGCGCTCGCCAGCTCCATATGGATCGGGGGAGGTGCCCTCCCCAAAGTGCGGCCGGGGCCGCCTCGCTCGGCGGCGGAGGTCCGCGACTTCCCATGGAAACGGGACCCGTTGCTAATCCACGCCCCCTTGATCCATGTTTGCGATCGCCTGAGACGGCCGGACGAGCGTTAGCAGAGAAAGGGAGTCCTGTGCGCCCGTAGACGGCATCCACTGAGCATTTCCGGAGGCGATGATCGCACAGAGAGCCCTCACGAACCTGCTGGTGGAAATTGGGGGTCCCCACGCCGTGTGATGACAGACCCGGCGGTGACCTCGAAATCCGCAAAGACCTCACCGCAGGGTCCGACGCCACACGATTTTGGGACCTCGGAGGTCCCAGTCGCCCGAGACATCCTCGAAGAACGACCTAAGTCCCAAAACCGTGCGGTGACCCCGAATCCCCACCGACTCACCACACGGTGGGGTCACCGCCCTGGCCCCCGATGAGCAAGGACGCACACCTAGAGAGGGGGGGGGGGGGCGAACCAAACGGGCGAGCACGAAGCGCCGAGGATACGGGCGAGGCGCGCGCAGGGGTAGAGTAAGACCGCTCGGGCACCCCTTACTCTGACCAGCCCAGCGCAGAACAGCACGGAGAGGAGGAGGCCTGCCGTCAAAACTAAAAACTCTCACAAAACAAACTATCACAGAGGGAGTTGGCTCACCCGTCAGCTCTGGCCACGTCACCTCTGGCCCCCAGTACTCGGGTCGGACGCGAAGGGAGATACAGCCAACACTGGTAGCAAGGATGCTCGGCATGGATGCAAGCCCCTTGGACGCCCATGTCAAGGCTATTCGGGCGGGGCTGACCATCGAAAGTGGTTAAGGATGGACGCAAAGGCAAGGATGCAAGGGTACCCTTGGGAAGTCGACCCATCCTTATCATCGGTTTCGACTGCTCGTTCCTAATGGGGGTTCGCCCAGCCTTCTGGGTATTCGCGGCTCTGCACAACGACCCCTCATCACTGTGGGGGCCCACGCGTCTTTATGGAGGCTCGCGAATCAGCCCAAAGATCCCATCCTTATGGGGGTTCGCGAGGGGTGCACCCCCATGAGGATGGGCCCATTGGGAAGCTGACCCGCCATTGTGGGGGCTCGCGATTCGGCCCAAGGACTCCATCCTTATGGGGGTTCGCGAGGGTGCACCCCCATGAGGATGAGCCCCTTGGGAAGCTGACCCGCCATTGTGGGGGCTCGCGACTCAGCCCAAGGACTCCATCCTCATGAGGGTTCGCGAGGGGTGCCCCCTCTCATGAGGATGGGCCCCTTGGGAAGCTGACCCGCCACTATGGGGGCTCGCGACTCGGCCCAAGGACTCCATCCCTACGGGGGTTCGCGAGGGGTGCACCCCCATGAGGATGGGCCCCTTGGGAAGCTGACCCGCCGTTGTGGGGGCTCGCGACTCGGCCCAAGGACTCCATCCTTATGGGGGTTCGCGAGGGGTGCACCCCCATGAGGATGGGCCCTTTCGGGAAGCTGACCCGCCATTGTAGGGGCTCGCGACTCGGCCCAAGGACTCCATCCTTACGGGGGTTCGCGAGGGGTGCACCCCCATGAGGATGGGCCCCTTGGGAAGCTGACCCGCCATTGTGGGGGCTCGCGGCTCGGCCCAAGGACCTTATTCTTATGGGGGTTCGCGAGGGGTGCACCCCCATGAGGATGGGCCCCTTGGGAAGCTGACCCGCCATTGTGGGGGCTCGCGACTCGGCCCAAGGACTCCATCCTTACGGGGGTTCGCGAGGGGTGCACCCCCATGAGGATGGGCCCCTTGGGAAGCTGACCGTCAATTGTGGGGGCTCGCGACTCGGCCCAAGGACTCCATCCCTCCGCGCCTGCCCTGCGCCCCCCCACCCCCCCCGGCTTGCAGGGGCGGCGCCCAGGTCTTCTGGAGGAGGAGGCGCCCGGGCGCGGGGCTGAAACTGGCGGCATGCAGCCGATTTCGTACCCCCCGTGCCGACGGAGGAGGAGGAGGAGGAGGAGGAGGAGGAGGAGGAGGAGGAGGAGGAGGGCAAGGAGGGAGACGACCGAGGAGGAGGAGGTGGAGGAGGAGGAGGAGGAGGAGGAGGAGGAGGAGGAGGAGTAGACGGGCCAGACGAAAGGAGGGCATGTTACTAAGACGAAGCCAGGACGAAGGTAAATGGGGGTGGCGATAAATCGGGAGTCTCTGAGATCCGGCGGCTCTGGAGGGTATATCAGGCGCCGCGGCCTTCTCAGAAGGTTCTGGGCGCTCTGAGAGCGATCCGGAACCGTCTGGAACGGATTCATCCTCGTCCTAGCCCCGCCCGACAATCCCCCCTCCCTTGTGCGCGCCGCGCACAAGCGGGTAGGGGCAGGGAGGAGCGCTTCTTAGAAGGAGGCTGCTTCTTAAAAGGCGCGTGGCGGACGACCCTCCCCCTCCCTCAGACCCTCCCCCTCCTCCTCTCGGGAGCGGCGAGAAGATCGGGCTCAAGCAGGGTGACTTCGACGTCTGCTGGGCCGCCTCGGGTCGAGCTGGGGGGACTCGGGTCGGCCTGGGGGGGGGCCCTCGGGGCTGGCGAAGCCAGCCTCGTCCAACGAACCCTGGCAGCCCCTGGTGCTGTCCCTCCTCCTCCTCCTCCTCCTCCTCCTCCTCCTGAGGCCAGAGCTGGCTGCATGCAGAGATTCCGTGGACCCCCCCGTCGGCCCAACTCCCCCAGCTCTGCCCGACCCCCGCCGCTGCGCGCGCCCCGGCACGCCCTCCGTCTGCCGCCGCCGCCGACCCGTCGTCGACGGCTGCCTGTTGGAGCGAAGACGGCGTCCGACGACAACGGCTCGCACTGCGGAGTGAAAGCCACAGCGGCGCTCACAGCAGTCGCAGCTGGCACCCGGCAGCGCGACCAGGAGAGCGTCACCAGGGCTCCAGGAGCAGGGACGAAGGCGGCCACAGGGAGCGAGGCACAGCAGAAGCCGACAAGTGCGCACACCCTCGGGACTCCAGTCGCCGATCGGTGTTCGATCGACCGATCGCTCGATCGTCAGATGGAACGCCGCCGCCGTCGACCGCTCCACACGTGCGGTCGACGACGGCGGCGCTCGCGACGGCCACTCGGCCAGCCAGGCGCCGGCCTGCCGCAGCGTGGCCAGCAGCACGTGGTCCAGCGGGAGAGCCGCCAGGGCCGCGCACGCGTCGATGGCG